GGAAAGTAATGAAACAGAAAACAGAAAGGTCAGATCAAAGCCAAATTATTGGACCTTTATATGTTAGATTATTTGAATTTCATTCTGTAGACCAGAAGGAGCCATTGTAAATCTTTAACCAGGGAAGTGGCTTATTAGCAGTGTGAAGAAAGATGATCTGATCCTGGTACTCTGGTGGCTTAAAGGGAAGAACAGAAGCCTTCCAAGATACAATAAGAGTCGTCCACGCCCAAAAGAACAAAGGCCTAGAGCAAGAGTGACCAGAAGTCACAGTGTGAAAAAGTGCTGTGCAATCCTAAGAAGGAAGAACAAACCTGGGGGGATTATGCCCCCTGACTTCAAGCTCTACTACTAAGCCACAGTAATCAAGAAAATTTGGTACTGGCATAAGAACAGACACATAGATCAATGGAACAGACTAGAGAGCCCAGATATAAACCCAAGTATATATGGTCAATTAATATACGATAAAGGAGCCATGGACATACAATGGGGAAATGACAGCGTCTTCAACAAATAGTGTTGGCAAAACTGGACAGCTACGTGCAAGAGAATGAAACTGGATTACTATCTAACTCCATACACAAAAGTAAACTCAGAATGCATCAAAGACTGAATATAAGTCATAAAACCATAAAACTCTTAGAAGAAAATACAGGCAAAAATCTCTTGACATAAACATGAGCAACTTTTCCCTGAACACATCTCCTTGGGCAAGGGAACCAAAAGCAAAAATGAGCAAATGGGACTACATCAAGCTAAAAAGCTTCTGTAGAGCAAAGGCACCATCAGTAGAACAAAAAGGCATCCTACAGTATGGGAGAATATATTTGTAAATGACATATCTGACAAGGGGTTAACATCCAAAATATATAAAGAGCTCACATGCCTCAATACCCAAAAAACAAATAACCTGATTAAAAAGTGGGCGGAGGATATGAAGAGACACTTCTCCAAAGAAGAAATTCAGATGGCCTACAGGCACATGAAAAGATGTTCCATTGCTAATTACCAGGGAAATGCAAATTAAAACCACAGTGAGATATCATCTCACACCACTTAGGATGGTCAACATCCAAAGACAAGAAACAACAAATTATGGTGAGGATGTGGAGAAAGGGGAACCCTCCTATGCTGTTGGTGGGAATGTAAAGTAGTTTAACCTTGTGGAAAGCAATATGAAGGTTCCTCAAAAAACTAACAATAGAAATACCATTTGACCCAGGAATTCCACTCCTAGGAATTTATCTGAAGAAAACAAGATCCCTGATTCAAAAAGACGTATGCACCCCTATGTTTATCTCAGCACTCTACATTAGCCAAGATGTGGTAGCAACCTAAGTGTCCATCAGTAGATGAATGGATAAAGAAGAAGTGGTACATATGCACAATGGAATATTATTCAGCCATAAAAAGAAAACAAATCCTACCATTTGCAACAACATGGATGGAGCTAGAGGGTATTATACTCAGTGAAATAAACCAGGCAGAGAAAGATAAGTACCAAATAATTCCCCTCATTTGTGTCGTATAACAACAAAGCAAAGCTGAAGAAACAAAATAGCAGCAGATTCACAGACTCCAAGAAGGGACTAACATTTACCAAAGGGAAGGGATTGGGGAGGGTGGGTTGGGAGGGAAGGAGAAAGGGATTAAGGGCATTATAATTACCACTCACAATATAGGTAGGTCACAGGGAAGGCAGTGTAGCACAGAGAAGACAAGTAATGACTCTATAGCATCTTACTGTGGTGATGGACAGTGACTGCAATGGAGTGTGTGGTGGACTTGATAATATGGGTGAATGTTGAAACCACAATGTTGCTCATGTGAAACCTTCATAAGATTGTATATCAATGATACCTTAATTAAAAAAAAAAGTACTGTGCAGTAAGAATTTATAGGAGGTGCTAACCAAGTCTAGAAAGGTGGGGAAAAATCTAAGGGTGGTCTGAGTTTTGGAAATGACTGGCTGGTAGATTAATGGTATGATGTAGAAAATCAGGAGAGCACATCTCTTTCAGGGGAAGATGTGGAGTTGGAGTATAGTTGTAAAATCCTGAAACAGACATACAGATCGAACCTTACCAGCTCTAAGATACCACTGATTATAAAACACACCAATATTTTATGTGTCATTAAGAAAAAAATGCCATATGCTTTCTTAAAAATATAATTTTTACTTTATTGGAAGAGCTGTTTTAGACTTAAACACAGATTTTTGAAATTCTTTATTTTACATACATTAAATTGCACATGTTTAAAGTGTACAGTGTGATAAGTTTTGACACCTGCATGTACATATGAAACCATCACCACAATGAAAGCAGTGAACATATGCATAACCCAAAAAGTTTCCTCACGCCTCCCCTTCCTCCTTCCTCCCTCGCTCCCATCTCTAAGCAAGTACTGATTTCTTTCTGTCATATAGATTAGTTTACATTTTCTAGAATTCTAGATAAATGGAATCATACTGCATATGTTCTTTGGGGTCTGGCTTCATTCATTCAGTGTAATTATTTTGAGGTTCATTGATATTGTATCAATAGTTCATTCCTCTCAATTTCTAAGTAGATGCCATTATGTGGGCATGCCACAATTTGCTTATCCATTCACCTACTAAAGATCATTCTGGTTGTTTATAGTTTTTGGCTATTTCAAATAAAGCTGCTATAAATATACTTAGATTTTTGAAGCCATATGTCACCCCGGGCATCCATAAAAAGGGAAAATGCAAGTGAAATGAATTGGTTAATATTCTTAAAATTTCTTCACAGAGTCCAACTTTTTAAATCACTTTTTGACTCATAGTTATCAATCTCTGTTTTTTCCCACACAATATCTCCTCTGTATCATCAAGAGTAGTAATTTTTTAAAATCTGTGAAAGAACTAAAAGCCATTAATGCTGAGCTCTTAAACCCACTCAAGAATTATGTGGAACTAGCTTAATCTGGACCTTCTTTTGGGAGCATTGGTAACACACCCGAGTCACCACCTCTCCATTAGGTTTTAAAAGAGTGTTCTGTGATTCTGAAAAGTATCTGTTTTTTTCCAAATCCCTGACACTCTTTCTGCTTGTTGTGAAGCAGATGCTTTTGATACCTATGTGCAGGTAGGCAAGGACAAGTACCTCTTGACTGTTGCTGGGCCAACAGTAATTGGAGGACCACCAACTGTAAAACACATCTCAAGTTCAGAATGTTAAATGTGGGAAACTGTGATTCTTTGAGTTCATTAAGTAGGGTAGTTCAACCGGTTTGATTGATGGTTAAGGGCCTGGCAAATTGAGATGCTTGTCCAGTGTTACAAGATGAATTGGTGGTAGCTGGGACCAGAACAAAGTGTATATGACCCAGGAGGTCTCTGAAGGGAAAGAGAGTGACATTGTATATGGAAAAGACCCCTAAATAGAAAAAAACCACAGACTTGAACATGGTGAGCAGTTGAATTAATAAGGGGAAAGAAGCAAAATTCTAACAGCTCTTAAGTGCCCACCTACAACACATCTCTTTTTATGCCAACCCATTCTTTATTCTTAACCTTTTGCATTACCTTATTTTAAAAAAAAAAAAGGCCTTCTCAGATCATTCCTCTACTTAAAAGTTGGTGGCTCCCCATCTCCAACAGAATAAAGCTTCAGTTCTTCAGCAAGGCTCATTCATAGGGAGCACCCATCACACATGTCCCTTCTGCATCTCACTTCTTCCCCCCCACCCCAATTCTCCCCTTTAGCCACACCAACCAGTCACCAACAGATCATCTACTTTCTTATCTTTGTGCCTTTGTTTCCAGTGTTCCTTTTACCTGGAATGACCCATCCCCAGCCATATCCCCCTTATGACCTCTTCAAGCCTCCAACACAACCTCTTTTTCACAGATTCCCCTCAACCTCCGCTCCTCTTACCCAGTGATTATTTCCTCATGTGTTTTTAAGTCTACTTTATATGCTGTTTCTGTTACAGTATTTACCAAGTAGTGTTATTCCAGTTTGTGTGTCTCACTGAGCTGTGATCTCCTTGAGGAAGGTGTCATAGTTATCTTTGTAGTCCAGTTTTCTAGAGCTGTGCCTGGCAAACAGTAGGTATACAGCAAATATTAATTGCTTTTAAAGGTCTGACTGATGTTAATACCACATAAGGAGAAACAGTTCAGGACATTGCTATTTCCTGAATGCAGTTTTATCTTTCTGTATATTATCTGTAAAATCCTCTGCAACAAAGAAGGTATTTCGTAAAAATTTCATTTTGAGTGGAAGTTTAGGAGGTAGGAGGTAGAAAAAAGGAGGTCAAAAGGAGAATGGACTAGTAATATAAAGAATTAGGGAGGATGCCTAAGGAACCAAAAAGGATATGGGACTGGAAAGAATGGGAGATGAGGAAAGAAGAAAAGAGAAAAGTGTAAAGTATATAGCCAGAATTTGAGAATCATGCTTAGTTTAATTGCAGAGGAGTTAGACTAGACAATGCTTAGCACTAAACAATGCTTTCTTAGATGGACCTTCCAAACTCTTTGCTGAATGAACCCCATTTTGTATTCTTCACAATCACTCTCTCCCTGAAAAGACATAAGTATGCCACTTATAACTGCCTTACAATTAGTACATTGTTCTTCCTTGTTTTCTGTGGAAAGCTGGAGGAGGCAGAGTAGTGGGGTGGAAAGCTGCTCACTACCCTGGGAATCAGAAGGCCCAGCACACCCCAGCTTTGGCATCTCGAGCAAGGGACTTAGCCCTTCACCTTCAGAATCTCCATCTGTAAAATGGGATATTAAAATCTGTCCAGGTTGCTCTTCCAGGCTTTTTGTAAAGATCTAAATAACTGAAAAACATAAGTAAGAAGACACTTTGTAAGTTGTCAAGTTGCCCTGCAGATGAAGGTAATAGTACCTTTTTGTTGCATCATTTGTCCAATAGAGAGAATCCTTTGGCAGATAGCATAGCCCTGTCTCCTGTTGATAAGTGCTGTTTACAGAAAGGAGGTAACAGTCTCTTTCTTATTAGCAGTACTCTGAAGTCTCAGGAAGCTGGCCCACTTTAATGCTCAAGGCCCATGAGAAGGGCATATAAGAAGCCATGGCACTCCCTTTTCAAAAAGAGCTGGAGAAATACAAGAACATTGATGAAGATGAGCTGCTTGGCAAACTCTCAGAAGAGGAACTGAAACAGTTGGAAAATGTTCTTGATGACCTAGATCCCAAGGTTAGTGACCTGATCTGACGTAGTGTGGTTAAAATGATACACGATAAATGCATGGCTTCATCCTTAAACAGTAGTGCAGAAATCCCTTAGCTCCAAGTGCAAATTCTGTGTTCTTCCTCCTGTTGGTTCGGGGTCACTTACTTTTACAGATTCAAAAGAACCTCAGTAACTTCTATATGATATGGCAAATGTATTTCTCAAAAGCCAGCTTACTGTAGATGGAGAAAAGTGTTTTCCATTGCTTGAGGAAGGACTCATCTGACTTAAAGAAAAAGAAAGTAAAGAGAGAAAGAACAAATCTAACCAAGTTTCTTCTCTGAGTCATTATAGTCTGCTTAGCACAGAAGCCCTTGAGGTAAATGGTATTATTCCCATTTCCTAAAGACTTGAAGAAGTAATTTACATAAGCTCTCATACTAGTAAGTGTCAGAGATGGCATTTAAACCATATATTTAACTCCAAATGCAGGTATTTTTTATATCTCATTTCTTTAAAATGCATAAATAACTTGAACTCTCTGGTGATCCCACAACAATGGGTAGATTAGAATAACTGTAACAATAATATCAGGTACATTTAAATGGAGCTTCTAATACTTTTGTGAGCTCTTGAAAAGCTAAGTAGCTTGTTACAGTGTTTGTTTAATGAGTACTTTCTTCAGCCCTGATGATACTATCTTAAACTTAGAACCAGAGGCATCCAAAATAGTGATTTGATGATAAATAAAGATGTCACTAAGCACTATTTATTTAATATTCAGATATGGCAGATACTTTGGATGTCATATTTACTTTAAAAAATAAAGTATTCTGTATTTTTTAAACTTGAAGAAGGAATCTCTAAGCTTGATCAAGCAGTTATCAACACCTACCATAATACTCACTTTCCCAGAAAAAGAAGTTAGAACTAAGAGGGCAGAGCCAATGCTCCTTGTCAGAGTCCCCATGTGCCTTCTGGGGAACATGATGGGTGCAGACTGGCCAAACCTAAGTGTGATCTGTGAGGGAAGAGGCCATGAAAAGCAGATGGCCTTTTGCCACCACATTCAAAAAGGCAGTTGCAGAGGGCTTGGCGGCTGCCCCAGCCACTGTGCTCCACCTGTGCTTGTTGGGAGGCCTCCTCCCAGCACAGGATATTGGAGCAAGTAGGGCCTCAGAGATGTGCCGGAGATCCCAGCCCTCAGCTCATACCTACACCTCTGCACAGGTATGCTTGCCCCTGCTTCCCGCAGGTGCACTGGGGGGTGAGATGGGGAGGGTCACAGTATCAGTCAGGCAGACCCCTCCCTTCCTGCTCACACTCCTCTCTCCTCAGAGTGCCCTGCTGCCAGCTGGATTCCGGCAGAAAGACCAGACCCAGAAAGCAGCCACCGGCCCGTTTGACCGTGAGCATCTGCTCATGTACCTGGAGAAGGAAGCTTTGGAACAGAAGGACAGGGAAGACTTTGTGCCCTTCACTGGAGAAAAGAAGGGTAAGGACCTCCATGTCTTGGGACTGAGTGCTCCCCATGTGTTGTCCTAGAGGATGCATGTCGGTGTTCATTAGTCCAACCCACAGAATGTGCACCACCAAGGGTGACCCCTAATGTGAGCTGCGGACTCAGGGTGGTGATGACGTGTCAGTGTAGGTTTAGCCATCGTAGCAAATGTACCCTCTGCTGAAGGATGTTGTTAGACAGGGAGGTTGTGAGTATGGGAGTGGAGTATGTGGGGACTCTCTGTACTGGCCCCTGTGAACCTAAAACTGCTCCAAAAATAAAGCTTATTAATTTAATAAAAAGAATTATGACAGAATATGTATGCTAATGGAATGAATACTTAAAGAGTGTAATAGTACTTAAATTAGTTCTATGAAAAAAATCTTAGGCCTCAAAGAAAAAGCTTTGGGAGTGTGAAGTGGCATCGTGCCTGAAGAGGGTCCGTAGGCATAGGTGTGTTTCTCTGAGCCTGGTGATTTACCAACTGCAGAAGGCCCCTCAAGGCCTTTCTACTCCACGTCTAGGATGGCTCTAGCACCAGACCTCTAACCTCGGACATTGCCATCAGAGGCCAGTGCAGTCAGCCATTCACTCACCTGGCACCTACCAGGCACCTCCTCTCTGCAGATCCATGTGTCAGGTGCTGGGACCACAGGGAATGAGACCCTTCCCTGTCCTCAGGAAGCTCATGGGCCAGTAGGAGATAGACTCTGATAGACCTGGGACGGCTCTGAGGAGCAAAGGGATGTTTCTCAATGCCAGGACTGAGCTGAGAACCAAGATAGGAAAACCCTCCACCTTAGCTCACAACCTTAAGTTCCCCTTTGGAGGAAAAGTGGGTGCCAGTAGCCCATCCAAGTTCCTCAGCTATGGACAACAGGTTGGGCCCATAGATATGAATTGAATTGTTGATAATTTTATATTAATTATCATCTTTTTAAAACACAAATCAGATCATGTCACTTCCCTGCTTAAAGTCTCAAATCCTTACTCTGGCCCTCAAAGCCCTGGGAGAGCTCACCCCGCCTGTCTCTGACTACATCTCTCCTTCCCTCACTAAGCCTCAGACCCACTGGCTTCATTTGGTTTTCAAACCTGTTGAGTCCTTTTCCTATCCCAGGCTCTTCTCATGGACTCTTCCCTCTGACCCACATCCCCATTCCTCACATTCTGCACGTCCTGGCTTACATGCCTGGGCCTCAAGCTTTCCCTGAGCTCTCTGTCTAAAACAGACCCCACCTTTCTGTGGTCACACACATTTGTTACTTTCACAGCACTATGACAGTGCCCACCATTTTGTTTATTTACTTTGGATTTTGTGTGTTTTCCACATGAGATTGCAATCTCTGCAGTGGCACTGTGTCTCCCTGCCGTCCTGGCACAGAAACTGGTGCAGGAGAGGCACCCAATAAATACAGGTCCAAATGAGCGCCCATACTGTGACCCAGGGAAGCAGGTGCACCATGCCTCAGCCGGCACACGTCAGCATGCTTCCCCCTTCTCTTATGCAACACGCTGTCTCTCTAAATCTACAAGCCTGATGGATCGTGCGCCCTTGATAATGTCATTTCATTAATAAAGTAACGTTGAACAGTGATAAATTGAGCAAATAGCCAAGGGTTACCATAGAAATATAGAGCCGTTTCTATGGCAGCATAGTTGCTATTGGACTAATTTAACTGTGAATGGAAAAATGAACAATAATGTCAAATCTTCAATAAAATCCCAGTTAACATCCAGGATTAGGGTAGTGACAGAATAAGAAAGCTGTTGTCTTCTATTCTCAGAGTAGAGGTCTGAGGGGCAGCAATGGGAAATTACCTCTTGATCCAGATTAATCTACAGATGGTTCATGGGGGAGTTGGGAATGCAGGAGCAATCTGAGGAATAAACGGAGACCCAAAAGGGATATACAGCCACACTGTGTAGCTTTGGAAAAGGTGGAGAAGAGCACTAAACAATGCTTTCTTAGATGGACCTTCCAAACTCTTTGCTGAATGAACCCCATTTTGTATTCTTCACAATCACTCTCTCCCTGAAAAGACATAAGTATGCCACTTATAACTGCCTTACAATTAGTACATTGTTCTTCCTTGTTTTCTGTGGAAAGCCGGAGGAGGCAGAGTAGTGGGGTGGAAAGCTGCTCACTACCCTGGGAATCAGAAGGCCCAGCACACCCCAGCTTTGGCATCTCGAGCAAGGGACTTAGCCCTTCACCTTCAGAATCTCCATCTGTAAAATGGGATATTAAAATCTGTCCAGGTTGCTCTTCCAGGCTTTTTGTAAAGATCTAAATAACTGAAAAACATAAGTAAGAAGACACTTTGTAAGTTGTCAAGTTGCCCTGCAGATGAAGGTAATAGTACCTTTTTGTTGCATCATTTGTCCAATAGAGAGAATCCTTTGGCAGATAGCATAGCCCTGTCTCCTGTTGATAAGTGCTGTTTACAGAAAGGAGGTAACAGTCTCTTTCTTATTAGCAGTACTCTGAAGTCTCAGGAAGCTGGCCCACTTTAATGCTCAAGGCCCATGAGAAGGGCATATAAGAAGCCATGGCACTCCCTTTTCAAAAAGAGCTGGAGAAATACAAGAACATTGATGAAGATGAGCTGCTTGGCAAACTCTCAGAAGAGGAACTGAAACAGTTGGAAAATGTTCTTGATGACCTAGATCCCAAGGTTAGTGACCTGATCTGACGTAGTGTGGTTAAAATGATACACGATAAATGCATGGCTTCATCCTTAAACAGTAGTGCAGAAATCCCTTAGCTCCAAGTGCAAATTCTGTGTTCTTCCTCTGGTTGGTTCGGGGTCACTTACTTTTACAGATTCAAAAGAACCTCAGTAACTTCTATATGATATGGCAAATGTATTTCTCAAAAGCCAGCTTACTGTAGATGGAGAAAAGTGTTTTCCATTGCTTGAGGAAGGACTCATCTGACTTAAAGAAAAAGAAAGTAAAGAGAGAAAGAACAAATCTAACCAAGTTTCTTCTCTGAGTCATTATAGTCTGCTTAGCACAGAAGCCCTTGAGGTAAATGGTATTATTCCCATTTCCTAAAGACTTGAAGAAGTAATTTACATAAGCTCTCATACTAGTAAGTGTCAGAGATGGCATTTAAACCATATATTTAACTCCAAATGCAGGTATTTTTTATATCTCATTTCTTTAAAATGCATAAATAACTTGAACTCTCTGGTGATCCCACAACAATGGGTAGATTAGAATAACTGTAACAATAATATCAGGTACATTTAAATGGAGCTTCTAATACTTTTGTGAGCTCTTGAAAAGCTAAGTAGCTTGTTACAGTGTTTGTTTAATGAGTACTTTCTTCAGCCCTGATGATACTATCTTAAACTTAGAACCAGAGGCATCCAAAATAGTGATTTGATGATAAATAAAGATGTCACTAAGCACTATTTATTTAATATTCAGATATGGCAGATACTTTGGATGTCATATTTACTTTAAAAAATAAAGTATTCTGTATTTTTTAAACTTGAAGAAGGAATCTCTAAGCTTGATCAAGCAGTTATCAACACCTACCATAATACTCACTTTCCCAGAAAAAGAAGTTAGAACTAAGAGGGCAGAGCCAATGCTCCTTGTCAGAGTCCCCATGTGCCTTCTGGGGAACATGATGGGTGCAGACTGGCCAAACCTAAGTGTGATCTGTGAGGGAAGAGGCCATGAAAAGCAGATGGCCTTTTGCCACCACATTCAAAAAGGCAGTTGCAGAGGGCTTGGCGGCTGCCCCAGCCACTGTGCTCCACCTGTGCTTGTTGGGAGGCCTCCTCCCAGCACAGGATATTGGAGCAAGTAGGGCCTCAGAGATGTGCCGGAGATCCCAGCCCTCAGCTCATACCTACACCTCTGCACAGGTATGCTTGCCCCTGCTTCCCGCAGGTGCACTGGGGGGTGAGATGGGGAGGGTCACAGTATCAGTCAGGCAGACCCCTCCCTTCCTGCTCACACTCCTCTCTCCTCAGAGTGCCCTGCTGCCAGCTGGATTCCGGCAGAAAGACCAGACCCAGAAAGCAGCCACCGGCCCGTTTGACCGTGAGCATCTGCTCATGTACCTGGAGAAGGAAGCTTTGGAACAGAAGGACAGGGAAGACTTTGTGCCCTTCACTGGAGAAAAGAAGGGTAAGGACCTCCATGTCTTGGGACTGAGTGCTCCCCATGTGTTGTCCTAGAGGATGCATGTCGGTGTTCATTAGTCCAACCCACAGAATGTGCACCACCAAGGGTGACCCCTAATGTGAGCTGCGGACTCAGGGTGGTGATGACGTGTCAGTGTAGGTTTAGCCATCGTAGCAAATGTACCCTCTGCTGAAGGATGTTGTTAGACAGGGAGGTTGTGAGTATGGGAGTGGAGTATGTGGGGACTCTCTGTACTGGCCCCTGTGAACCTAAAACTGCTCCAAAAATAAAGCTTATTAATTTAATAAAAAGAATTATGACAGAATATGTATGCTAATGGAATGAATACTTAAAGAGTGTAATAGTACTTAAATTAGTTCTATGAAAAAAATCTTAGGCCTCAAAGAAAAAGCTTTGGGAGTGTGAAGTGGCATCGTGCCTGAAGAGGGTCCGTAGGCATAGGTGTGTTTCTCTGAGCCTGGTGATTTACCAACTGCAGAAGGCCCCTCAAGGCCTTTCTACTCCACGTCTAGGATGGCTCTAGCACCAGACCTCTAACCTCGGACATTGCCATCAGAGGCCAGTGCAGTCAGCCATTCACTCACCTGGCACCTACCAGGCACCTCCTCTCTGCAGATCCATGTGTCAGGTGCTGGGACCACAGGGAATGAGACCCTTCCCTGTCCTCAGGAAGCTCATGGGCCAGTAGGAGATAGACTCTGATAGACCTGGGACGGCTCTGAGGAGCAAAGGGATGTTTCTCAATGCCAGGACTGAGCTGAGAACCAAGATAGGAAAACCCTCCACCTTAGCTCACAACCTTAAGTTCCCCTTTGGAGGAAAAGTGGGTGCCAGTAGCCCATCCAAGTTCCTCAGCTATGGACAACAGGTTGGGCCCATAGATATGAATTGAATTGTTGATAATTTTATATTAATTATCATCTTTTTAAAACACAAATCAGATCATGTCACTTCCCTGCTTAAAGTCTCAAATCCTTACTCTGGCCCTCAAAGCCCTGGGAGAGCTCACCCCGCCTGTCTCTGACTACATCTCTCCTT